GGGTTGGACTAGATGACCCTTGGGGTCCTTTCCTGCTATAAACTTCTCTTATTCTATGCTGTCTTCTTTGTTGTTGTTAAAAGCTGGGGGGAGGATCTGAATCGATTACAGTGCGGGTGGAAGGCTTTATCTTTTCCCATTATGTGATTTCTTAATCTTAAATCTATAGCAATGGTGCTATTATCCCGGGGGGTGGGGGGTTGTGGAGAGAGAACACATGGACCCATGTTGTCTTACCCAAGTTCAATTGTCTGAGAAGTGATGCAAGGCTAATGGGGAAAGCTCTCTTTGATCTGTGCTGGCAATTTCACACATACAAGTTCTCACTTGATGTCGAGGGATAAAAAGACGCACATGTGAAAAAGCACCTTTAGCTTTTCCAGAACATACAGGTGCACTTAAGACAGGGCACTCACATGTGAAATTCTCACCATCCTTTCCCAACGCAGTGCTCATTTCACAAGAAGATTGCAAAACTGCAGTCTTTTCCATCACGTTTAAGGCGCGGCTCTCATCCTAATCCATACCAGCTGTTAACATTCAGCCTTCAGTCAAGTTCCCATTAGATGAGCCCAGTGTTGCAGCAGCCAACAAAATGCCCTGTTCTTATGTGTATTGAGGCTACATCTTGTAAAGAAGGGGAAGACAGTCTAAAAAACCCTGAAATAACTGCTTAACTTTGGCTGGATTGAAACTTCTCACTTGTTTTAAAAAAAATAGGAGGCCCACACATTTGCTCAAATACACCCCCCCCCGGTTTCGAAGTGACATCATCATCAACATTTCAGGGCACAGAGCCAAAATTTTCATTGCAACAGAAATCGCCAAGGTAACCTTTCCTTCCAGACAGAGTTCTATTATTTCCAAAAGCTTTTGTGGCATTAAGATGCCTAAATCGTGCAAACCCATCACCCACAACGTCACAGTCCATCTGCTGACTCCTCCGGCTCCAATGAGTTCTGATTCAACAGCACAGGGCAATGGCAAGATTGGGAGTTGGGTCAGCCCACTGAGTGAGGCAGACGCTTCTCACTACAGTGGTACCTTGGGTTAAATACGCTTCAGGTTACATACACTTCAGGTTACAGACTCCGCTAACCCACAAATAGTACCTCGGGTTAAGAACTTTGCTTCAGGATGAGAACAGAGATCATGCTCCGGCGGCACGGCAGCAGCGGAAGACCGCATTAGCTAAAGTGGTGCTTCAGGTTAAGAACGGACCTCTGGAACGAATTAAGTACTTAACCCGAGGTATTACTCTACTAAGCTCTAAGGATGCTGTAGCCCTATCCAGGGAGGGGCCTGGCAAGTTCTGAAATTGCCTTAAGAAAAAACCCAAAACAATTCCTTGAAGGTTTGGCAGCCACTTGCAACCTGGCAAAAAAAGAGGGAGGAAGGAGGAAAGGAAATCTGTAGCACATGGCCCACCCCCTCCGAAGTTACCAGTTTCAACAGGCAGTTCCAGTACACAGAAAGAGGAAGAGGCTTCTCTCTCCGAACAACTTACGAGATGTATGCAGGATAAGCGAAGCCAATCAAGTTGCAAAGGAGGGACGCTCCATAACCGAACACCAGATAGATGGCTAGCGCGGCACCAATGGCTGAGAAAGAAAGCAGAAAGTCAGTCGGGGCGGAGAGGAGCCCTCCCTAGGCACACAATAAAGCAAAGGCAGAGTTATATAAAGATGGAAGTTTCCTTAAGGGCTGCTGAGGCGGGAAGGAAACGGATGAATTCCTTCCACGGGGCACAACCCACAACCACCACAGCCCCCAACGTAAGCCTGGAGAACTGGGGCACCACATCCTGCCCGCTGTTTACCGTGAAGTTTAACCCTCATGGGGGTGGCGGGAGAAGCTAACCTGTGATACTGAAAGGGTACATGGCAGATCCGAGACACAAAGCGATACTTAGTTCAGCCCAGACACGTCAGCTAGTCAATTACCATCTTGTGGGAGTTTCTCTCTCTTTCTTCCCCTCCTCCTCCTCCTCCCCTGAATTTCTCAGAAGGCACCAGTAATTTCCCTCCAAAGGCATCGAAAGTAGGGCTGGGGTTCCCCCTCCTGCTTCTGTCGGGGTACAGTAATACATACAAAAATCTGGTGGTGGGGTTTTTTTTACCAACATGGCATAAGAGCAAGAGAGATGAAGCTGGAGGCGGGGGAATGAGCTGGGCTGTTGTAACCTGAGACCAGCCCGTTTTACAGCGGCTGCTGCTGCTGGACATTCAATCCCAAGGGCTGAGACTCCCGCACCACCTCCTGCCCCCCCCCTTCTTGGACACGGTGCCTAATATGTGCCTTCTCCTGCCATAAATGTCGCTGGAGAGGGAGAGGAAGAGAGGCAGGTGCCAAGGCCCAGAATCTCCTCTTCTTTTTAATTTTTTTTTATTGGAAATTTTATTTACAACATAACACAAACCCCCCAACACAGAAATCCACCCCCATCAGACACAACCATAACAAACAACAAGCATAGTGTACAACAATACAAACAACCAAATAAAAGACTTCCTTTATCCTGTATCTGGCATCCTTATTTACTTCTTATAAGCTGTTTCCTTTATGAATAATTAAGATTTTTCTAATTATAACTTAAATATCCACAAAGTCACCTGCAGACATTAATCGAAACAAGTCCAGGTATGAATTTTAGGACACTGTTTTGTGAAGTATTCTCTGCATTTCCCCCATGCTTTTTGAAATTCTTGTCTAGTATGATCTCTAATTGCAATTAGAGGCCCAGAATCTCTTCGCCCCACTACCCAGGACCCCTGGCATCCTAGCGGGGGGGGGGGGGCGAAACGGAGCTTTCACTCCCATTATTGCGAAGCAAGCCAGGGTGGAGAATGCGTGGGGGGGGGGAATGGATACTCCCTTATTATGCAAAGCGTCTGTTTCGGTGCTAAGAACATTTACGGGCTGCTTTGCATTTTGGCGTTTGAATCGGCGTTGAGATGCCAGATGCAAACGCTTCAGAACAAACGAGAGGATTAAAAATAAATAAATGCAGGGCCGTCGGGGCCGTAACAAAACAAAGGGCTTCTTTCCTCTCTTCCCTTTCAGAAGCGACCTCCAGTTTCATCGTTTTGGAGAACATCGTAGGATCACAATGGCCCCTGTCGACGTGATGTTTGGTTGTGGGTGGAGGACGGGGGAGAACAGCGCGGGTCGCAGGGGAGCTTTTGGAGCAGAGGGAGGAAAAAAGAGAGACGGCATCACGGAGGAGAGACGCCGCTCCTTACCAATGGCGATGAAGGACCTGTTCACGCCAGTCCTGCTCTCGATCTTCTCCAGCACGGCCGTCAGGCAGTTCTTCTCGTGCAGGAACTTGTCGAACCTCTGCCTCATGGACGCGGTCATGGTGGCGGGACCCCTTCCCTCGGACAGAGGATCCGAGAGAGAAAGAAAGCGGCTCTGGTCTCCTCCAGGCGCAATGCAAATGCAAAGCGCTTCTCAGCAGCTGGCGACGGACCCGGGCCTGCTTTGCTCGCGGAAGGGAAGGCGGAGAGACGTCAGGAGCAGCAGCGGCATCATGGGGGGCAACGTCAGCACAAGCCCGGCCCCGAAGCCCGCCCTCCGCCTCGAGTCTCTGCAAAGGAGCCACACCCAGGCTCGGCGGAAGCGGCTCGGGGCTTTCGCGTGGCTTGGGAGGCGGGGAGCCCGGGTAGAATGACCGACGCAGAAAAGGCGCAGGAGACTAGCAAGATTGGGCGTCGAAGGCTTTTTCCTTCCACAAACCCACACACCCCACCCTGTCGTTTGAAAGCCCACGCACCGGCCTTTGCAAATGGAGGCCTTGTAAGAACGAGGGTGCAGGGGACTTGCTGATTTATAGCAGCTCGGTGTTTTCTGTCTTTTCTGCCAACAGTTCTTGGCAGTTACGTGCATGAGAGAGAGAGAGAGAGGGGCAGCGCACAGCCACACCCACGCGTTCACATTCACCATAGACGTAAAGGACAAGGCTCCCTCCAGATCTTGGGAACTGTAGTTCACAGAACTACAGTTCCCAGCACTCTTAACAAACCACAGCTCCTAGGATTGGGGGAGGGGAGCCAACTGGTTTAAATGTGTTTGAATGTGTGGTGTGCGTCAGGGGTGCCAACTTGAATACAAAATTTGGGGGGCAGGGGTAGCTCCCCCCCCCATCAAGTAAATAAATAAAAATAGTTAACTGACCAATTGCAATGCAGATAACACTGTTCTGCCCTTGTCCCAACATAAAACCTCCTCCCCTACCTAAAATAAAAACTGGCTACACCCATGGGAAGTAAGTCCTGCCCTACATAATCAATCACATGCATGGCACACTCTATTTGAATGCCACTGTCCATCAACTTTGGGGGTGGCCTCAAATATTTTATTTGGGGGTGGGCGAAGGGCCTAGGAATTGGCTCCTATGGTGTGCATGTCCCCTCAGTCTCCCTGCCCCCCTTTAATTCACTGTCCCCTCTCTATTGCTTTAATATCCATCCCAATTAAGAATTATGGTCAACCTGAAAGCTTGACTGCTATTTTATAATGTTTTGGTTTGACCAAGTAAAAGGTATTGACTGATTGTGCTTTCTCCCCCTTCCAGACCAACACATAGTACCTTTACTTTTACAGTAATGTATTATGTAAGGTAGGGACGTGGGTGGCGCTGTGGGTAAAAGCCTCAGCGCCTAGGGCTTGCCGATCGAAAAGGTCGGCGGTTCGAATCCCCGCGGCGGGGTGCGCTCCCGCTGCTCGGTCCCAACGCCTGCCAACCTAGCAGTTCGAAAGCACCCCCGGGTGCAAGTAGATAAATAGGGACCGCTTACTGGCGGGAAGGTAAACCGAGTTTCCGTGTGCTGCGCTGGCTCGCCAGATGCAGCTTTGCCACGCTGGCCACGTGACCCGGAAGCGTCTCCGGACAGCGCTGGCCCCCGGCCTCTTGAGTGAGATGGGCGCACAACCCCAGAGTCTGTCAAGACTGGCCCGTACGGGCAGGGGTACCTTTACCTTTACCTTTTATTATGTAAGGTGCTGTATTTTACATAATACATTGGCTCTCATTGAAGGGTGCTGGTCATTTCTAAGGGATAAACAAACTGTTTCTAGATCCGCTCTTACCTAGCCAGAAGAAAAGCTACAGTAAATAGTTCGTCGTCATCATCATATACTTTTATTGCGCTAGCCATAGGCCATGGCATCATTCGGAAAAATAACAAGAGGAAAAACTGCAATAACCATAAAAACCATCAGGCACCACACATACAATATAAACCACGGTCACAACTACTAAGATCGTTTGTTGCATAAAATAGAATAGCAGAAGATTCTCTAGTAAAATGTGCCAAATTAAATATCCAAATCCCCTTTGCAGTTGACCTCTATTTTATCTAGCTTTTTCCTCCTGATCTTCTTAGCTGCCAACGCATAGAGTGCTACTTTATAAGTTACAAAGCCATCAGTATCGCTCAGTAAATAGTTAAGTTTACCCCCTTTATCCAGTTTCTTTTATAGGAAGAAGGCCTTTTTAAGATCACCTGAAGTTGCAACTAGTTCCAGCTGTTCCACATCTAACTTGTCTGGCTGCTGAGTGGAGAGGGAAAGATGCTGAGCTTCCCTGCCTGCAGGCTCTCCTAGCTGCCATCTTCCGGTGAGCACCGTTGACTTGGACCCTGATCCTTCCCGTAAATAGGTAGGAAACACAGAATGCAACAGGGCAGTCTCTCATGTGTGCATTGTGGATTTTGGAGTATATGTTTTACAGGGACTGTTTGTGTGTCCCCTAGGACTCGTTCCAGTGGGTGTGCTGGTGACACGGGTCACCATGTTCTATCCATTTTATGTTCTATCCAATTCCCTTACTTGATTTCCATTTCCGCTTCCAACAGACATTGAATATTCTGGGGCCACTGAACATGCTCAGTGGACTGATTTAGGGCATTTTTGCCCACTCGTCATTTTTGTCTAAAATATTTTTTCCACTTCTGCAACCCTTGGGATTCTCTGGGCACGGTAATACCGTACTTTTCTGTGTATAAGGCGAGGGTTTTTTTTACATTAAAATAATGGTAAAAAATTGGGGCCGTCTTATACATGGGTAGTGCAGAGGGGTGACGGTGGATTGTTTCCTTCCGCGAGCAGTAGATGGTCACTGGCATTAGTGCGGGTGATTTCTTGCTGCGGCAATGGCTGCTGTTGATTGACCACTGCTGCGGCTTTGGGCAGTCAATTGGCGGCTGCTGGCAGTGATCGGAAACACAATTGGAAGCTTCTGCATCATGTGCTATCGGAAGTGTTGGCCAGTCAGGTGAGCGTTTTCAGGCATCCCCCCCCCCAAAAGCTCAACAGCTCTGGGCAATCTCCCCCCCATTTTCTAAATTTTGAGTCCCCCATGTCTTATACATGGGGGCGTGTTATACACAGAAAAATACTCCCTCTTGTTTCACAATAGGCCCATTTTATTTAAATGTCTGTTGGAACTCATCAGCTCACAATTAGAGAGAAGGATAGTACAGTGGAACCTCTAGTTACGAACTTAATTTGTTCCAGAGGTCTGTTCTTAACCTGAAACTGTTCTTAACTAGAGACGTGCTTTCGCTAATGGGGCCTTTTGCTGCAGCTGTGCCGCCAGCACACGATTTCCGTTCTCATCCTGGGGCAAAGTTCACAACTCGGGGTAACTCTTCCAGGTTAGCAGAGTTTGTAACTTGAAGTGTTTGTAACCTGAGGCGTTTGTAACCTGAGGTGTTTGTAACTCAGGGTACCACTGTAGTAGTTCCACAACCGCAGTTCCATTATAGTCATCTCTGGAGCTAAAGTTACAGAGTTGGGACTGCAGAGATACAAAGTAGGCCTAGGTAAGAGATTGTTAGTCTGCAGATTATGCTGCATTCCTTTGCTCCCCAAACTTTATTTTCCACTGATTTGTTATTTTGCAACAGGGAATGTAGGTATTTTATTCCCATAGGTTATACAGTGGTACCTCGGGTTAAGTACTTAATTCGTTCCGGAGGTCCGTTCTTAACCTGAAACTGTTCTTAACCTGAAGCATCACTTTAGCTAATGGGGCCTCCTGCTGCCGCCGCGCCGCCACAGCACAATTTCTGTTCTCATCCTGAAGCATAGTTCTTAACCTGAAGCACTATTTCTGGGTTAGCGGAGTCTGTTACCTGAAGCATATGTAACCTGAAGCGTATGTAACCCGAGGTACCACTGTATTTGCTGAACTCAGTAGAAGGCTTACCTATGTGCCATCCATTATTATTTATCCTCTGCAATTTTATGGATGCTTTTCTGAAGTATTTTAAGTACTGAAAGGAAAAGCCCTTCCTTGCAAGCATCCAGTAATACGCGACAAGTATACAGTGAGTCAGCTTTTGCAGTTGAAATGGTAGTGCTTATGTACAATCTGGCATAAAAGTGGCGCTCCTGGATGGACTGATAGCAACTAAAGAGCTTGCTGATGCTGGCATCGTAAACCTTCAACAAGGGACATTACAGCATCGCTGCTGTGTTGGAAGTACATGTTGTGAGACAGCTGGTATTTGAAAGTTGACTGCCAGTGCCGTGTATTCCTATTCAGTGTCAACACCAAAACGATAGTTGAAATCCCTGTGGTACACGCATAGTACTGTACGCACAGAGCATCAAATATAAATGCATAACTTAGCAGAATGACTCACTGCATCATGTGTATTTTGGTCTTCTGTGATTCTGTGGGTTGGCCCATTTCTGTGTAGAGTTAGCATATTGGAACAAGAAGCAGAACATTATCAAGGTCTTACTTAGTATGCTGACAACTTTTTTTTACTGGTTCTGTAACGTGACATGCAAAACCTGGTGAAGAGCTCACTGTTTCACTGTCTCCACTCACCAGCTAAATTTCTACATGTAAAGTTGCTCTGAAGTCATTTTTATACTTTTGATATGCCTTTAAGAGTGCTTTGCTCTCCTGCCTCGAACAGCTGTTAATGTTTATCTCTACTCAGTGAAAAGCTTTTGCAAATGCACCTGAGGTTAAAAACACAGGAGCAGGCAAGGCCATTTTATTTCTGGTCTGCTGGAAACTTTCAACTCAACTATTTCTATTATTACTTTCTATTATTCTTAGAGTAAGGCTTATATTTCTCTACAGGCAGTGGCAAAGAGTGTTTTGGAATGTAGTGTGCTATTTTCCATAACTGTGTTCAAAAATATATATTAAAATTGGAGCAAGTGCAAAGTGGTATCTGATCAGGGATCAGCTTCCATGTATTTTCAAGTGGAGCTTGACTCAGGTGTCCTTCACAATTGTGTGTGTGGTTTGTCACTGTATCCCTCTAAATGCAAAATCAAACAAGAAGCCATCCTTTGTAGGCAGGCAACCAATGAATGAAACTGTAAAGAAATAACAAGGTCAGTATTCAGACTGGGCACAGGGAATTGACAGTCCAGATAACCAATTCGAAATTTAACAACTTGAATGGCAAAAATGGGTTAATAAGCCTGCACCAAACAATTTAGCTGAGATTAGGACCATCTAACAGGGGCTATAGCTATTGCACCGTTATACAATTTTTACTCATAAGCCATCTTTGAAAGATACTATCTTGAAGGGAGAGGGGCATATACATGAATAAGATAAAATAAATAGTTTAATACCAGCAAATACAGGTTGTTAGTGAGTTATTTTCAGGGGAACATGTGTGGTTTTGTTTTTAACAGGATGGGGAATACTGAAAACAGGTTTATTTACAATCTCATAGTTTGTAGTTTTCAGAGCCCCTGCCCCATCCTAGCCTTTTGTCTTTTTCTCAAAGGTCTGGCTATCCTTTGTTGTTGTTGTCGGCATTGTCTGAATGCTTAAAAAAACAAAACCAAAACCAAAAAAAGCATGCCACCCTCTGGTGGCTGAAACTGATATAGAAATGCTTTTATGTGGGAAGTCAGCTGAGAATGCTGTGCATAGAATGCAATGAACAAATATATATTGAACTGAATATATATGTGCACTGAATATATATTGCACTGAAATGATGCATTTCTTGTGGGTTAGGGTTAAGGAAATGTCTCGCCCACAGCAGTTAATTAATTAATTATACCGCCCTTCATCTGAAGGTCACAAAAACCCATTCCCATGTTTTAGTTTAGTATTTTGCAGATGAGCTCAGCATGGCTTACTTCTGAGTCGACTGCACTATTGAAGTCTCTCTTGTTTGAAAGTCTCCATAGTCTTAGATAAATCTAGACATTCAGTTAGCGAAAGGTGGAATAACAAGTTCCCTTTGATGACAAGAGGAGTATTAACAAGTTGCATGGTAAAACCACAATCATGAGTGTTCATAAAATGCTGGCTGCTCATGCTGCCTGCGGGGTGGGGCTTTCTCTGTGGAGCCTCTCAGCAAAGGAAAACTGTACAGCCGCATATGACTAGCAGGCACATTTTTTACTACCCTTTAACCCAGGCAGAAATGGTTCAGTTTCTTTGGAGCGACAATAATAGTTTCGTAACACTTAGAGTGGCCCTCTATCCACTGGCTGCAAAACAAAAACACTGGGGAAAAGTAGTTAGATAAAATTGCTGTATTTTTTGGTGGCGATTCGGAGGTTTAAACTGAAATTAAGCTGTTGCTGTCTTTAGTAACTTCTCTCTTTTGGACAACAGATGTTGGCAAAGTGGATTTTAAAATGGCAAAACAATACAGTGGTACCTCGGGTTACATACACTTCAGGTTACATACGCTTCAGGTTACACACTCCGCTAACCCAGAAATAGTGCTTCAGGTTAAGAACTTTGCTTCAGGATAAGAACAGAAATCGTGCTCTGGCAGCGTGGCGGCAGCGGGAGGCCCCATTAGCTAAAGTGGTGCTTCAGGTTAAGAACAGTTTCAGGTTAAGAACAGACCTCCGGAACGAATTAAGTACTTAACCCGAGGTACCACTGTATTAGAATTGAAGATGTCACAGAGAAGCACAAGATGTGTTGTAATGCTCAGAAGCTTTGCAAAAAAAAAAATATTTTATTGATTTATGTTCCGTATTATATTATTAAAACTATTGCCTAACACAAGTTTGCCATGGCCTTTGTTTTGAACAATAAGCCTGTTAGCTTTTTTACTACCCTTTGAGTGATCTAGCTTTATATGCGGAGCTCTGGAAGTATCAGAAAACGCATTCGCATTATGGGGTAGGTTCAGCAAATGGGCTTCGATATTCTCACGCTATCTATCCTAGGCCTTAAAACGTGCGTAAAACCGTAGAAATCAACGGAGCTGGAGGGGCCCAACCCCGCGCAGAATCGGGCTACAAATCTGACTCGTGTTCATATGGAGGGGCTGAGAATTACCCAAGAAGCTCAGATCACAAGCTGATAAGGAGCTGGCTGGATCTGAGAAATTCTCACTTATCCCCTGAGCGTGTGCAGAGCGCGCAGAGTTCCTGAGCAACCCACATAAGCCGGAGTCGGGCAAGGGGGAAAGAGCTTCCAGGTTACGGGGTGTGACTGCCAGGCGGGTTTGAGCCCCGGCGGCTCTCATTTTGGAAATGACGCACGAATCGCACCACGATAGCACCGCCCCCCTATTTTTATTTTTTAAAAAATCTTATTTATTTATTTTTTAACGCGGAGCTTTAACGTTTCTTTCGTTTCCCTGGGTGCTGAACCCTTCCTCTCCTTCCTCTTTCGTCGCCCCGCCCGTCGCTCACGGTCCTTCGCCGACTTGACTGGCTACCTCCGCTGTCCGTCTTGAGCAGCGGGCAAGCCGATTAGCCCATTCCTTTCCTTTCGCCGCGGCGGTTGGCTGAGAGAAGCAAGGGTCCTTGCCTTACCTCCCGCCCACCCCGCCTCGCGCCTTTCTTTACCAGAGACAGAGAGACGATTGGCTCGCTGGCACCCTCTCCTCCTTCCTACGGGACGGAAACGGCGTAGTCCCGCCTCCAACCGCCTCGCCTCGTTTCGTTTCCCCTCTCGCTCGCTCCCCCCCCCACTTTTAAGGTCCGTCTCGCGCGGCGCTGTGGGCCCCGCGGAGTCGGGATGAGCCGCGCTGCTTCCCCATGGAGACCAAGCGGGCCGAGATTCCCAGCGGCGTCTTGGACGACCTGTGCAGGTATTAACGCCTCCGCCCCCACAAGCGGGGAGGCGGCCGGCTGTGGGGAAGGGCCGGAGCGAGACCTCCCGGGGGTCAGCAGCGCCCGAAGCCCCTTCCTCCTCCTCTGGGAGCTGGCGGAGAGGCGGCCGCCCTTCAGGCGGGACCCGAGAGAGGCACCGCGTCGCCTTCCCTCAGTTAAAAGTCCCGCCAGGCTTAGAATCTCGCGGCTCAGAATTGCCCAGAAATTGGTGGTGCCGGTTAATTAGCTATAAGCCCAAGTGGCGGGGAGGGAGAGGGAGTCGTCGGTTGTATAGGCGGCTTTAAAGTGCGCGCGCTCTTACGACGCGTGTCTCTCTGTGCGAGACTATATATATATATATATATATATGCACACACACGCACGCAATGCACAGATATATATATATTGAACGTAGCACTGAAATGATGCATATTTTTGTGGATTAGGGTTAAGGAAATGTGTCGCCCACAACAGTTAATTGATTGATTGTTTGATTGATTGATTTTGTATACCGCCCTTCACCTGAAGATCACACACACAAACGTTCCCAAATTTTAAAATGGAAAGTTCATGCCGCTATGAAGTTATGAAATGAAAATTAGGTAGTCATTTTGCAGAATAAGTCAGTATAGCTACTGTTTTTGAAGTAACATCCACAATGTGTTTTGACAATAGGTGGCTTTGTAAATAGTTTTGTTAGACTTTTGGTGTTATTGTATTGTTACAAATAGCATGTGCAGCTTGATGGAACTATTATACCTCAACAACTATAACTTTCAGTTTAGCCTACTCGCACCCTGTACGTCTTTTACAGTGTACAGTGGTACCTTGGTCCGCTAACCCAGAAGTAGTGCTTCAGGTTAAGAACTTTGCTTCAGGATGAGAACAGAAATCGTGCTCCGGCGGCGCCAGCAGTAGGAGGCCCCATTCGCTAAAGTGGTGCTTCAGGTTAAGAACAGTTTCAGGTTAAGTACGGACCTCCGGAACAAATTAAGTACTTAACCCAAGGTACCACTGTATCGTACAGTCATACCTCTGGTTGCGTTTGCTTCATGTTGCGGATTTTCGGGTTCCAAATGCGGCAAACCCAGAGATGTAAACTTCCGGGTTTCACCACATGGCAGAAGCGATCTGTGCTCTATCGCGCACACGTGCAATAGCGCTCTATTGCGCTTCACGCACGCGCAGTAGCGGTGCTCTCCTTACAGACTTTTCGGGGTGTGAACAGCAGCACGAAACAGATCACATTCGTCAGTAGAGGTACCACTGTAGTCCTATGCATGTTTATCATATATATATATGAAAAATGTTTCCCAAGTTCATTTTCTGGCTTCCCGGCAGCATTCTGGCATATCCTCCAACATTTGTGAAAATAGAGATGTCCTATTTAATTTGCCTCCTTCCATGGCATTTTTAACTATGAAGGGACGGTTTTGAAGGATCCTTTTAGGGAGCAGTCATGTTGGACTTGGTAGAGGTGCACTTGATGTTACCTCCAAGTCAAATTCCACCCACATTTCCCCTTTTTAGGTCTGGTGTCAAAAGGAAACAAGCAGCTTTAAAACACCCAGATCTGGCAACTGGGCACTGCTTTCTACTGCTGCTGTTCAGACATAGTATGAGGGCAGTGCACATGTGCAGATCTCAACCACTACTGTTGTTGTTTTTTGTGGGTGGGGAATCCCTCTAAAAAACAGAAACACAAATTTTAGATACACTGTAGGAATCCAGTTTTGCCCCCATTTAGTGGATCTGAATGGAGGATACTTGGTTTACCAACAGGATAGCAGTCAGAGGGAGAACTCATCCACAAAGAACTGCTGCTCTGGAAATGCTGCTTTTACCAAGTAGGGCTGCCAGCTTATTTACCAGTTTTGCTTCTGACAACACACTGAAATGTGGAGAAAAAGTAGACAATGCTTTTCACATCATTTTGCTTTCATACCACTTAATGTTTGCATGTTAAGGCAATGTCAAAGGGAGAGAAGCCAGTAAAATATGTCAGCTGTTCCTCCTCATCTTGGCATGTGCCTGTAAATGTATTCTGTGTTCCCAGCCTGGTATTTCCCAGCAAATTTATTGAGTTCTTGCTATCCAGAAGAATGCTCAACCATCTAGGGTCAGTTATTAAATTCCAGAATTAACATCTTTGCTAATCCCTATCTGTTGTACAATAATGATTTCTCAATGATCTAATATTATTAAGTGAGATGAGAAGCCCCAGGCATGCAAAAATTAAATATCTGGCAATTATTGTCAGATTGAAGCTGTTAGATGAGATACAAGTGTGTTAAATGATCCTTAGACTTCATAAATTTGGGGTTCTTCTTCCTAAGGTGGGTACACCTGTTTCAGTCTAAAATACTTTCATATTTGAGATAGGAAACTGAGCTTGAGAAAATATGGCATGTCAGAAGGAGCTCTGTACAAACTCAATGCCATACCTAGTCCTTCCCTTACCCATCGAGTTGCATTGAACAGTGTCATGAGGGTTGCAGGGCAAGAACAGTTACTCTGTAAGTAAGAAGTCCAGCCATGAAACAAATCAGCAGATTCATGCCAGACTTTGATGTGGTGGCCAATTTGAATGATTTTATCCTGGCTTTTTAAACCGGGTCCATTGCTAGGGCAAAAGGAGGAGGAAAGGAAGGGGAAATCTTATTGTGTCCAGGGGCATGCATTATGTTGGATCTCACCCAAAGTATGCCTTTAGCTTCAGAATAATGGTGGGTTGTTTTTTTTTGCTTATTCATATTTAATTGATTAAAGCTCATAGTTAATAAAATATTGAATCAAATTAATAACACAAAAGTCCATTTTTAACCAATCCAGTCGTTGCATCTCACTATGAGTTTTTGACGTTAAATCAACTTGTTGCTGGATAATACTGCAACATGAAACCTGTTTTTTCGTCAAAATGAAAACAGCTCCCAAAAAGTCCTTTCTCTTTGCTTGGTTTAAGTTGTAGGAAGAAATACAAATAACATTAACCAATAAATTTAAAATATTTATTTGCATCCCCAAAGTGTTTACGGTAAAACACTAAAACCTGATGTAAAAATACCAACCCAGCAGCTTTTCTGAGAAAATATGCACTCAACTGAGGCCACACCTTTTATTTGATAATAAAACTAGAATTATGTATCTCACAAAGAGCCTCTCTTCGTCCACCTAGTATGTATGTAAGCTTCAAACATTAAATGCTCTCTGCTTCAGCTACCTGAATTACACACAAAATAAGAACCATAATGGCCAGAAGCAAGGCTTTTATACAAGTAATGCAATCCTGTTGAATGTCTTCACTCAGATGCCTATACTAGCTTTTAAGAGGGTTTGCAAGGCACATCTTTTTCAGTTGGCCTTAGTTCATTAGCTTTTGTTGCTAGATTTATCTTAGTCTTGCATTTTTATCTGTTATTAGGAGTCATTGTAATACACTTTAAGTTATGAAAACGCAGTATACAAGTGTGTTAAGTACCCCCTCAAAGCTTTCAGGTGAAGTTCATGGCGGTGGTACTGAATCATGGAGAGCTGAAAGCATGTGAAGGTCCTACATAAACCATAGTATTTACTCATCTGCATGAAGCTTAATGATTCTAATCTCATGGTGGCTGATGAGAGTTTGTCCCAGATCTTGAATACATGTCTTGAAACCTATGTGTGGCTTCTTTTCAAATATGTGTCGTCCTTTTCAAATAAACCTTTTTGACTTTGCGCTTGCTGTTTTTGTAATTTAAGAGTTCTTTGTGCTTCAGATGTTTCAGTGACTAGTTCATAAAATTATTTTCCCCCTCCCAACAGTCGATTTATTCTGCACATTCCCAGCGAGGAGCGGGACAATGCCATCCGAGTGTGTTTTCAGATTGAGCTTGCCCATTGGTTTTACTTGGATTTCTACATGCAGAACACACCAGGATTACCTCAGTGTGGGATAAGAGATTTTGCTAAAGCTGATATCCTTTCTGTATTACTGTGTCTTTTTGTAGTCTTGTGAACTATGTGTGATGAAACTGTTCATGAGTGCCATCCAGGAAGATGCCTCATACTGAGAACAGACTATTATTCTTATTTGCCCATTTAGCTCACTATTGTCTACACTGACTGGCAGCTGCTCTCCAGAGTTTCAGATAAAAGTATTTCTCATCCCTACCTAGAGATGTCAGGTGCCCTGGCAATTTACCTGTGTCATGAGACACTTGAGAGTAACCTCTTTTGAAATCATTCTGATTAGGTTTTAAGGCAAGGGATCTCCAGAATCGGAATTTATGAAGCTCTTCACAGTAAGCACCGCTGCACGTGTTTATGTGTGCTTTCTGTTACTTTTTTTTAAAAAATGTACTTATTACACAATTTCTATGTGTTTGGAGGTGGGAATGGCACAGAATTTCGCTCATTGTTAATGTAGAGTGGCTGTCCTTTCTACAGAAATGAATGGGGAAATTGGTTTGTGCAGGAGTGCCCTTTGTTGGAAAGCATGCACAGCTCTGGCCTGGAGGCATTACAAGTAGATTCTGTTGATTTTTGTGGTTCCTGCTGCTATGTAATGAATGCATGTAAAACTGGAAAATGCCAATCATCAGCTCATGCTTTTTCTGGGGTGGGGGTAGCATGCATTCTAAAATTACTTTAAGCTGTTGTTTCTCACCTGCCTGGCCACAGCCGATTATTAGGCTTCTTACTGCTGCATGCCAGTCTCTTAGGCAGAGACTTTTAAAAAGAAGTGCTATGATTTATATACTACTTTTAGACTGCAAAATTCACAGAGTGGTTGAAGCTATAACGTTAAAACCCATTTATAGGACAGGCTAAGTGTGCTTCTGGGGCGTACGGTACTCTCAGCAGCACCTGATCTGAGGAATGTAGTTGCCTTGCAGGGAAATATGATAGAGCAGAACCCTCCCAACCCACAGAGACAATCCAGACGGAATATTCCTCTGCCCATCTACTTGCATAGGTCATCAAGAAGGGAAACAAGGCAGTTTTCTGACCCAAAAGCTGACTGAGATTAATCTATAACCTACTTCGTCCAAGAGAGTGCTGTTGGACTGTTTGGCCACTGTGATAACAGAGCGGTAGACTAGATGGGCCTTTTGCCTGACAGGATTCAGTGATGATTTCTTGAACTGGGCCTCACCGACTGCCCCTTCAGGGCATCAGGAACACATCCTACCCTAAAGGACACCGGCCAGCTTGTACTGCTAGCTCTTTGATCTGTAAATTTAGCCATGCCATGTATCTGACCCATTCCCCTTTCATAGCTTAGGTTGTGTAGTTTTAAAGACTAGTGCCCTGATTGCCAGTTTACAGATATATAGCTCTAAGGTGGTGGGGGTGGTGAAATACGTGTTTCAAATAGGTGCTTCAGACTATGAAAGCATCCCTATGCAAACTTAAAGTGCCTCAAGATTCTTCATAGGCAACAAGGCAAGTGATTTAACATATCAGGTCCCCCCCCCAATTATTCCCATGACAGTTCTTAAGAAAAACCAACCCACTGGTGTTAAAGCTCGGTGGTGTGAAGGTTCCCTCATTAATGTCAGTGATTATGATTTTCTGGAGACAAAGAAAGGAAACATGATTTGAGGAGTGAAAACGTGTGTCCTGGTGCAGTGAATTTCCTTGACTTCCTATACTTTTCAGTCACTGCCCTTTTTTACTGCCTCAAGGTGAAGATGTGCAGAGGGTTTTAGATGAATGGAAAGAGTACAAAATGGGAGTGCCAACCTATGGTGCCATTATTCTCGATGAGAGCCTTGAAAATGTAAGTGTGAAACTGATCGGAAGGATTTCCTTTTATGTCTTGGAAAATGGAATTAATATTGATTTAGATTTTAACATTAAAATCATTAAAGGTAAAGGTACCCCTGCCCGTACGGGCCAGTCTTGACAGACTCTAGGGTTGTGCGCCCATCTCACTCAAGAGGCCAGGGGCCAGCGCTGTCCGGAGACACTTCCGGGTCACGTGGCCAGCGTGACATCGCTGCTCTGGTGAGCCAGAGCCGCACACGGAAACGCCGTTTACCTTCCCGCTAGTAAGCGGTCCCTATTTATCTACTTGCACCCGGGAGTGCTTTCGAACTGCTAGGTTGGCAGGCGCTGGGACCGAGCAACGGGAGCGCACCCCTGCCGCGGGGATTCGAACCACCGACCTTTCGATCAGCAAGCCCTAGGCGCTGAGGCTTTTACCCACAGCGCCACCCGCGTCCCTTAAAATCATTAGGTGTGACTTATTTCAAAACCTCCTAAATGATACCTTTTAATGTAAATACTAGTTTTACAATTGAATAATATATATCGTTTGAGATTCTTTCCCTCACTGTAAGAGAAGAATGTGTGCTGGATTTTCTTCCTTCTCAACCATTTATTTTGGTGTATCGTTCTTGTAAATAAGAAACTTTCCCAATCCCACTGGTGCTTAACACAATTTTATGCCCTCCAACTACTTCTCTTCTTCTAAGTGCTTAATTATGTCTTGAATTTACTTCTTAAATTTTGCAGGTGCTGCTGGTCCAGGGTTATTTAGCAAAATCTGGCTGGGGATTTCCAAAAGGGAAAGTGAATAAAGAGGAAGCTCCACACGACTGTGCTGCTAGAGAGGTGACTGAGTTGCTTTTATGCTCAAAACAATGTCTCTGACATTTTCCCATGTGCCTCAAGTGCATGTACCATATTAGTGTTTCTCTATCAGGTGGTGATTTTTCTGTCCCCTGATATATGACAAACGTGGATATAACTTTTTACGTTGCTGTTGCTGCCATTCCTATGCATTCATTGACATTCAGTCCAATAATATTGTATACAGTTATGTAAGAATTACTTTAAAGAAGAGGTATTAATGCTGTTTATATATTGGTCATACTTTGTGCCAAGTGGCATAAGATAGGGAAACGGGTTGTTGTAGGGCAAGGCTTGTTCTATGGACAGCCTCCTTGATTGCTTTTCCTGCTATGTAACCAATTTCCCTTTCTCAACATAAAATATAAACTTGTTGTGCTTTTTTGGTGAAAGACAAAGTAAACATACAGGATCGCAATGCACGTCATCTTGAGTAACTTCCCCCTAATGGGTTTTTGAGTTGCTTGCTGTCATTTTTTTTTTAAATGGCTCTTCACATTTTTAGTACTGCAAGTGAGAGACAACAGGGAATTCTATAATCCCCTACCTGGGTAGATATTCTCTGGAATTAATATGAAGCATGAAAAATATTTTAAATTCATAGATGCCATTATCTGTGTTAAGATTTTCTATATAGCCGATGTAATAAATAGGTTATAGTTCTCTTGAATAAAATTGGATGACGTTATAGGTAACTCGCAGCTTTCGTGCTTTTAACATGTGTAATTTCAACTTCAACTTTCCTGACCCAACCAATGCCGTATGAGTCTTACCCCCTACCTCACCCCACCCCACCCCAAGCAAGGCAGAGAGCTTTTAAGATCTCACAAGATACTCCAAAAGCCTGAAAACAAGGGAGAGAGCTTAGAAGCTCTTTTTGTACAGGGTTTTCCCAGTGAGCATGAAGGGTATGACCTAGAACATATTCAGTGCTTTCCTACACACTTGAAGAGAAGGTGGCTGTGAACAAACTGTCTTTCAAGGATGCTTCTTTGCTAGCATTGATTTCATAGAGAAAACCCTGATGAGCTTCTAAGGATGTATAGGATTCCCAGAAACAGTATAAAAACTGCTGAAGGGGATAGATTAATAATAGTGGATGATTCAGAGAAAACGATTTCCAGCTACTGGAAGCATCAAATTTCTCTAAATTGTGTCTTGTATTGAGAAAATGCTTTGAGATACATGCATATAAAGCAGTATAGAAATATCTGTAATAAATAGTATGCTAAAATTGAGAAAGGATCCACCTACTCTTTTCATTTTGGGCTCTTCAGTATATTTATAAGATGTGCAGTTACCCTATTATAAAGTTTTTTATTTGTCAAAACTTGCTGTAGAGATTGTTGAATATTTTTGGATCGCTTTGCAGTGTATGTTTGATTTTTAAAAGAATCTCTTTTTAAAGCTGTAGTGAAGAGCTTGTATTTTCACTCACATATAGTTCCCCAAGTGAAAAGTATTAGTCAACTTTTTCATTACTTTGAGCTATAAAGTGAAATAACTAGTTGCACAGCAGCTAAAATGCAAATGCAATTTTTTACTCTGGCCTGTGTATTTTCAGGTATTTGAAGAAACTGGTTTTGATATAAAAGATTACATCAATAAAGATGACTATATTGAATTGCGAATAAATGATCAGCTGGCACGCTTGTACATCATTCCAGGAATTCCAAAGGACACAAAATTTAATCCCAAAACAAGGAGAGAGATTCGGGTAAATAGACTTACATGTGTGTGTGTGTTTTTTGTAAGGTCTGATCAAATTATTGGTATTGAGAAAATAATGATTTATGCAGGACTAAAGCAGTGGTCAAATGTCCTAAGGAGTCCTTCTCTAGTGCACCGTTCTGGTATGCAGGACACCGGCATCATATTGTTGTCTTGTTTGTTAGAGTCACATGGAAGTATTCATTTTGTAACAGCTAATTCATACTATTTTCTCATGATATATTACGTGTATGCCCCATTTTTTACTTTCATTGCTCATCGGGCCTACTTTCATGAAGTCCAAGCCCTGGGATTGGGGGGGGGACGGACCTGATTCCATAGGCATTTTGCACAGTTTGAAAACTGTAGGCAAAGAACATAGAAGAGGGTCAAGGCAACATGCATATTAGGGGTGATCTGCAGTCTAAATGGTCTGGTTTGCACATAACACTAAACCATGGCCTGGCATTATAAGTGAACCAAGCCTTTCAGCTTAGCCTTTAGGATAAAGGTTGCCAGTTAAAGAAGTTTTGTAGTTCGTTTATAAACCTTAGTTAACAATTACCATAACTTAGAGTTATGTGTAAATCTGGATGTCCTTAACCATGGTTAAGATGCCTTCACAGTCCAAAAACTACAGAACCCTGGGTGAAGAGTGGCAACAAAATCATGACTGCTCTTAAGGCTTAGCTGCTCTCTATTCTATGATGTACTAAACCAAAGTTTGTCTGCCAGACACCTCAGCTTTAACCATGGCTTACTAATTATGGTTAACATTATCTACAGTTAACACTAACCATGGTTTAGTGTTATGTTTGAACCAGATCAACATCTAGGAAGAAATTGCAGTACATTGAGCATTTTTTTTGCAGTTGAGGGGGGGATATTCTGAGTTTTCTGGTGTAGATGGGTATGCAACATATAGAACTGAATTTTAATCAGTGATTTTCTAGTGATGGCAAAGCATGCTGTTTCCTGACTAGGTGCAATGTGATTTCAGATTGTTATCCCTGTCCATTATTTATGTGTAATATAAAGAATCTCTTTTCTGTGTTTCAGAACATTGAATGGTTCTCAATAGACAAATTGCCTTGCCATAGAAATGATATGACTCCGAAGTCCAAGTTGGGTTTGGCACCTAACAAGTTTTTCATGGCCATTCCCTTCATCAGGTGTGTTCAGGACGAGAAAGAGAAAAACATTCCTTTATAATTCAGTTCTGTGTTGAGGAAATTTTTATTTTTGTGTTCTAAAATTTGCCCTAAGAAGCTGGATGTTGCTGACCCAATATTACCTTCTCCACAGACCACTGAGAGACTGGCTTTCTCGACGGTATGGAGATTCTTCTGATAGTGACAATGGATTCTCATCAACTAGTAGTAGCACACCACCTAAACCCAACATGGAAAAAATGAGGTAACAATCTATCTCAATTTGAAATCTACCAGTAACCTTATAGCCATTATATATAATTTTAATGAAATAAGTGATATTTCCTTGTTCAGATGAAACATTCTCTCCCTCTTGACCCCTAAATCTGTTCTGGGGTTCCCCCAACCCTCTGAAGTCAATTTGGGATTGGTGTGGGGCATGTATAGGGGAGGAAAAGGAGGAACTCCCATAGTGTGAGTGGGATTTGTTCCATTTGTGCATTATTTTTTAAAATATATAACTTTTTATTGATTTTCCAATATTGTTCCAATAGCAGCTGCATTATAACAATACCAATTTTATCCAATTAATACAATTATTAATGCCAATTATTCAACTGTCAAATTGTACAATTTAATTAAATTGGCCCCCTTGCATGCTAGAGTTGATGAGTTGATTCTTCTACATTTTTTCTGCGTTCCGAAATTTTAATAATTTCCATTCAGATATAATAATCCCCTGTATAACAGCTACAATCTTGTGATTTCTATTTGTGTTGGTATAATAGAAAATTTATAAAGTTTCAAGTGAGGAACTTTAGCTGTAATCCTTATTCTTTCCTGCGTGTGACAGTTTTCTCCTTGATGTTTTCCCATCTATATACGGTGTTGTAGCCTTCATTCCTGTTGATGGTTCCCATCATGCCCCGGGAGAAGCTGTTATCTCAGTTTCCAAAAGTCACTGCATCACTTCATTCCATGATTTAGCTTCTAGTAAACAAGCCGTCAGGGACGCGGGTGGCGCTGTGGGTAAAAGCCTCAGCGCCTAGGGCTTGCCGATCGAAAGGTTGGCGGTTCGAATCCCCGCAGCGGGGTGCGCTCCCGTTGCTCGGTCCCAGCGCCTGCCAACCTAGCAGTTCGAAAGCACCCCCGGGTGCAAGTAGATAAATGGGGACCGCTTACTAGCGGGAAGGTAAACGGCGTTTCCGTGTGCTGCGCTGGCTTGCCAGATGCAGCTTTGTCACGCTGGCCACGTGACCCGGAAGTGTCTCCGGACAGCGCTGGCCCCTGGCCTCTTAAGTGAGATGGGCGCACAACCCCAGAGTCTGTCAAGACTGGCCCGTATGGGCAGGGGTACCTTTACCTTTACTTAAACAAGCCGTCTTCACCATTTTTCCAGCCTAAGAAGAATGGTCTGAATCCAGACTGCAGATAGTTAATCCAAAAACTTCTATTCCTGCAGCTGGTAGACTCCTTTGCTCCCTACTGCTGATTTATGGCCAATTATCTCAAATACATTCCTTTGGATAATGGAGGTTAGGGAGGATTTTGCTCTGTGTTTCAAAGCACAGCACCCCCCGCCCCCAGTTCCTTTCTCTCACACACACAGTTCCTATTTTGTTAAATTCCATATTATATTCCAATTTCTTCCGTCCTCACTTGTGCAGATATTTTTAATAAAACTTTCATTCCCGGGGAGGGTTGCCGTATCATAAATGTAGAGAAAAACTTTAAAGAAGCAAACTGGGCTCCCCTCCCTCCGTTGTCTCTTTCACCAAATGAAATCTCTCAGTCCAAACCTTTTACATCTTTGTAGCTGGGTTGTTTTTGCAGTTTCTTATCTCATCGTCTTTGACACGTGCCTGTAGTTTACTCCAATTAGAATCCAATTAATAGGATAACCTGTGCTTCCAGGAACAGGATGGGGGGGTGTGTGTCACGGCAGCCAGAGTGCTCCATCCACCCAGTTTCTTTGCCTGCCCTCTCATTCCATGGGGAAACGAGTGCCAGACTGCAAGGCAAACTGCAGGCGAGAGCCTGGTACCTCTTTCAACCAAAGAGAAATGCAGATACTGTAATGAAATTCCCCATTGTTATTGGTGTTGGGAGAGAGTCCATTCCTGGTGCACTGGAAACAGGAAGCCGCCATTTGTGCAATTATTTAGCTGAATACCACCCCAAGCATTGTCCATATCACCTAAATGGAGCGAAAGAATGATGGAATGTTCTATTGTTGTTGTTGTTTAGTCGTTTAGTTGTGTCCGACTCTTCGTGACCCCATGGTCCAGAGCACGCCAGGCACTGCCTCCCGCAGTTTGGTCAAACTCATGTTCGTAGCTTCGAGAACACTGTCCAACCATCTCGTCCTCTGTCGCCCCCTTCTCCTTATGCCCTCCATCTTTCCCAACATCAGGGTCTTTTCCAGGGAGTCTTCTCTTCTCATGAGGTGGCCAAAGTATTGGAGCCTCAGCTTCAGGATCTTTCCTTCTATTAATCTGTCCTCCTATTAATTAACAGGATCTGCCCTGTTCTGTTAATAATGTTCTATTTTACAGAAGTGTTAACTAGTGTAGATGTTAGAGGAAAAAAGACTTGCAGTACAATCCCATACATTTTTAGCTCAAAGTAAAACCTATTACAGTGGTACCTCTGGTTACGAACTTAATTCGTTCCGAAGGTCCGTTCTTAACCTGAAACCATTCTTAACATGAGGCGCACTTTCGCTAATAGAGCCTACCGCTGCTGCCGCATGACTGCTGCTCACATCCCGGGGCAAAGTTCATAACCAGGAGCATCTACTTCTGGGTTAGCGGAGCTCGTTACCCAAAGCGTTCATAAGGAGGACAGTATGTAACCCGAGGTTCCACTGTATATGCAAAGGGCTTATTCTCAGGGAAAGTGGATGTGGATGCTGAGAGTACATAACTATCATCATTAGCATTATCAACAGCAGTAGTATTACAGTGGTGCCCCGCAAGACGGAAAACCCGCTAGACGAAAGGGTTTTCCGTTTTGGAGGCGCTTCGCAAAACGAATTTCCCTATGGGGTTGCTTCGCAAGACGAAAAAATCTTGCGCGTCCCCGTGGGGTTTTTCCGCTTCCCCCCCTTTTCCTAAGCCACTAAGCCGCCTATCAGCTGTTCCGCTGATAACCCGCTTAACAGCTGATCGCGAAAAGCCGCTAAATCGCTAATAGCGCTAATCCGCTTAGCTGGCAATGGGGTTGCTTCGCAAGACGAAAAAACCGCTAGACGAAGAGAATCGCAGAATGGATTCTTTTCGTCTTGCGAGGCACCACTGTAATACATTTTGCATCTATGTAAGTGGTACTTTAATTAGAACAGATTTGGCTGGTCCTTTCCCAGAAGGATTTACAGTCTAAACATAAGCAGAAGGAAGAAAATGGAGGAAGGGGTAAACAGTGCCATTATTTCAATATTTCAGCCTAGTTACAGTAGGAGGAGGAGGAGGAGTTTGGATTTGATATCCCGCTTTATCACTACCCTAAGGAGTCTCAAAGCGGCTAACATTCTCCTTTCCCTTCCTCCCCCACAACAAACACTCTGTGAGGTGAGTGGGGCTGAGAGACTTCAGAGAAGTGTGACTGGCCCAAGGTCACCCAGCAGCTGCATGTGGAGGAGCGGAGACGCGAACCCGGTTCCCCAGATTATGAGTCTGCCACTCTTAACCACTACACCACACAGTAGGGTATCAGGACTAGGGAATTGTTCCAAAGACCCTCCAGAAAAGTTTTGAGGAAGGTTTTGAAGGGAGCAAGGGAGGCATAAGGAATAGCAAAGGGCTGAGTCATTTCAGGGGACAGGAGATTTCTGGACCACTGAGCAGTGTGGATCAAGAAGAGTGAAAGGATGTGTTGGGCTGTTAAGACAGAAGGACTAGGTAGTTCTATGGCTATAGGACTGCAGTCTTTACAACCTAAATTTAGATTGGTTATAGCTTGTTGCTTGGCAAGACATCAGTGAAAGTCTTTGAAAGCAGCAAATTCTTGAGTTGCCGTACCAATAATTAGGGGCGACTGAACAGGTGTTTGGTAAACTGACATATGAAATGTAGCAGCCTTCAGAATTCTGAATCAAATGGCAGTCTACAAATCAAACAGAACCACAGGCAAGTTCACCTGCAGTTCATTGCAAGTGCTGAACATGTATGAATGTGTAGTAGTTTAAAATACTGCCAGGTACTGCTGTATGCTTGTATCGTGGGTATTCAATAAATGCATTGAACTGCAGGAAAACGCTATTCAGTGATGTGGCGTTTTGGTTCACTGACCCTTTTCCCCTGAGACACAAATTTAACAAACAATGTTTACATGCAGGCTTTACAGTTCCATATTGGAAAGAGACATCTGTAATAAATCTCATATTGTCTTTTCTCATATTGTTTAAAAACCACCACTTGGTTCCAGACATATGAGAATGGACACTTTTGTATGTACAGTGGAGCAATGTGTCTGCCTCTGTGATACATGTGGATGTTTCTGTGATTTGCTAATGATGTGGCAAAATAATGTAATCCACATAATGGTAAATTCCCACAAGCCTAACTTGATCACACCTTTGTAGAGATGGAAAGATTGTGGAATTGGCCACACATGCCCCAGGACCTGCTGGTGAAGGGCAGGTAATGAATTGAATAATATACTCTGCATCTCTCATTACTTGGTATGTACTGTAGTTGACATCTCTACTGGTCCACCATGTGTGTAGAATTGCAAGCATGTAAATGATCAGTGAACCCTTAGTTGCTCCAGTGCCATTGGCATCATTTGATGAGTGCTGCTCAATGAAATTTTCCTAGGGCAGTGGTGTTTTTTCCCCTGTTAATTGCTATCAAGGCAGGTGACCCCCCGCCCGGCACCATATTGTACCTTGTCACTATAAGCATTGACAAGCAATGAATCTGAGTGGACTGAGAATCATGCATTTGTCAACAGCAATTGCCACTTTGCAGTGTCTTTGAAACAAGCAGTAATTCCCTAAAGAGGAAATCTATAACATACTGTCGCAATGGTTAATTGGCAAAAATAGTCTCATGCAGGGAATACCTAAGCAGTTCGAGTTAAAGCTGTTGTGATCATAATCTGCTGTTGATCTTTTCTAAACAAGCCCCCTGCTCCCCCCTTTTTTTGATGGATTAGATCTAAACTCCATTATAGCCAGCCAGTGGTTACAGATGGTCCTTCAGGAGAGCAGTGGACGAAACAAAGGCAGTTGCAACAACAGAAGCCATATAACAATCATTTTGAGACGTCTGATGCGTTAAAACTAAAGGTGAGTTTCTTTTTAATACATTTTTGTGCTAGCTCAAATTCTGTGAAACTTGGTTTTCTGTGTACATGAGACATTTTAACTTTCAAACTTCACAAGCTTGTGTCTTAAGGGAATAAGACTGTATATATTACGGTAATCGGAGAATTACTAAGCATATGCACAGTACTTTAATCATCTGCAATATAGTTATCAAATTTCATTCAGTTTAATATATGCATAAGCATACAGGATGTGGCCATGGATTTTTAACTTCAGTTCCTTCTTTTTCTTTGTGTGGTGGTTTGCTCAGAACCCACGTAGCAATGGTAGAAAGCAATACCAAGACACTCCCAATCAAAAGAAGAAAACTAACGGAGTGCAAAGTCAGCCAGCTAAACAGAACCAAACTTTGGTAAGTTGTTTAATGGTAAATAAGTGTAAAGAACATTGAATGGTCAGCAGTGCTGTAGAATCACAGAGGGTATCAAGAAGATTGCAGTGATAGTTGGAGCTGCGGGTTCCCTCACTGTGCCCTCGCGCTGAGACAGGCTGTGGACAGATAAAATGTTGGCTTGGACACTGTCAACTTCTGGGCTTTTGCTGCTCTTGAGACCTGTCCCAGATTTTGGCTGGGTTTAAAAAGGAAGTGGGGAAGTGTCCTCTCGTAACTTTATTTGGATTTGCCCAGAAGTAGTTGAGAAGAATCTGTTGTGCTTCCTATTGGTAAACTGCCACTCAAAAGTAATCCTGGGGAGGATAGCAAAAGTAGTAATGGATTCATGTGTGGCTCAGTTAGCTAGAAAAGAATGCAAAGTAAAGGGGTTAGAGCTTGCAGTGTGAGTTGCCACAGGACATACATATGCTTTCAGATTTCTGTATGTGGTGAAAGACCATTGGGTTGTGGTAACCTTCCATGAAGTTAGTTTGGCCTGCAAAAGAGATTCTTCTTTGTAGCTTTCAAGGTATAGCAACCTAATTCTGCATTTTTTAATATATCTACGTGGTAAGAGGCATCTCTTCTGCACTCTTCATCCATTGCCAGATACATTTAAAACAAAACTCAAAACTAATACAAAACCCAAACTCATACAGTTATCTTCTTAACCAGAAATGTGAAAAGAAGTTACACCCCAGGAGACTTCAAGATAATTTTGAAACAGGTAAGTATGTGTATGCTACATTCTGAAGTTAGCACTTTTGCTGGTTATTTTTCACTGTGCATTGTATCTTAAGCAACACATGACACCCTGGTTCAGATGTAAGGATCTCAAGCCACTTAACCATGGTATATAGAACCAGGCAGTAGTCATGAGTGCAGCTGTGCTTGCTAACCAGGATACAATACATGCTGGTTTCATATCATAGTTGGCAACTAGGGAACTTCCCCCCCACCAAGAACTGCATTTCCTTTGGGGTCATGGTGGGGTCATGTTTTAAGGGATGGTTGCTGGTAGTGGACCTAGCCAGAGTCACCCACCTTTCTAGTGGTGATCTTGAGAGTCTCTTCACCAACCCACTCTCACTCATACACACATACAGCCAGTCCTCCCTCTCACGCATACACCCACCCATCCACAAACACTTCCCTAGTGTTAATTATTAACTAGGACACTCTCCCCCACCCTTTATACCATCTACAAATTTTCTCCACTTCATTATGATAAATCCTAACCCTTTGTGGGGGAAGGGGGGAATTCGCATGCAGCTGCCAAGGGAAGATCTAACCCTTCCCATGTACTGCAATTCCAGTGAACCCCCGCACCACAAATGTGGCAATTATTATTTTCTATTTATTTAAAAGCCTCCCATTGTACCTATCACACTGAAGCCCTACACCGCAAACCGCAGAAAAAATAGTACCTCCTGATTCTTTGTAGGTATTGGGCCTTTTGTCCTATAAAACTACTGAAGTAAAAACCACACGTCTTAATTCATAGCTTGGATGTGGGAGATTTTGGTAGTGGAGACCAATTGTATGTGAACTACTGTTGTTCAGAAAGTCACATGTTGAACCTTGACCCATGATCACATCCTGATTCAGTTGATATGCCATATTCAAGAGTCACTTGTGTAACCAGAGTGTTCTACAAATGTCTGTGTGTTGAAGGAAGATATATATGTTACTGATTTTTTTCTACATCTATTTGACAGTCTTTGGCTAAAAGGCAGTACAGTGGCACCTTGGGTTAAGTACTTAATTCGTTCCGGAGGTCCGTTCTTAACCTGAAACTGTTCTTAACCTGAAACACTACTTTAGCTAATGGGGCCTCCCGCTGCTGCTGCGCTGCTAGAGCGCAATTTCTGTTCTCATCCTGAAGCAAAGTTCTTAACCTGAAGCACTATTTCTGAGTTAGCAGTCTGTAACCTGAAGCGTATGTAACCTGAAGTGTATGTAACCCGAGGTACCACTGTATATAAATGCTATAAATAAATCACTTCAAATGTAGATTGTTCCAAGTGTTCTTTCCTGCAAACCTGTTTTAACTTAACAGTTTTTAATGAATAAGTGACCGAATAATTTGAAACTTTCTTTAGTAATCTGTATGCACTGTTCTTTTTTAATCTGAATAGTAAGACTATTTCTGACACTTGCCGCTGCTAAATAATTTGTTTTATCTTTTTTTAAACCCAGAAGCAGCATATGACATGTGTTGTGTCAACGAAGACCAGCTCTTAGAACATGGACAATCAGGGCCATGCAATGGCCACTGCAAAATCACTTTCTCCTCACGAGCTTTTCTGAGCTTCAAGTTTGACCATGACGCTATCATGAGAAGTTTTGACCTTTGATGCTTGTTCATTTGCACAAGTCTGCCACAGACCTGGTGCAAAGTAGCTGAGCAGGTTTCTTAAATCCAGCCTTTACCCTTTCTCAGGTTTAAAAGCAATGCAGGGACCTAGTGATGGGCTGGAAGGCTTCTCATCGCAATATGGGAGTGACACCATTACAGTGTTGCACTTTAAATGCAGTATAGCTTTTACCTGCAGAGGGGAAAAAATGCTTTCCAGTGTTTCATTTGCTAGTTCCTAACTATGCATTAGAGGGCATTTTTTTTTGCTGTGTGTTTAGATTTCAGAGAAGTATTTTATTTAGCCCTAGTGCTATACTAACCTCTTAAGTGTTTAGATTTGCTCTGATGTACAATAATTCTTTGGTTTCCAGTATGTCACAACAGGGTGGCAACTGGCCTGAAACTTCTGAGGACACACCTGTTTTGTATTCTGGACATAGTTAGACCTTTTATGACTTTGTATGCTAAAAGGCTAATTTCTCTTTTTGCTAGTTCAGGATCCTCCTCCCTCGGATCTTCTGGCTTTTGAAACCATTTGATTCTCTTTTGCACTGTACCAGGTTTTTTTTAAAGGCATGTTTTAAAATGGTAATGGTATAATGAAAAGCTGAATTCTGCTCAGAGATTGTCTCCCCCCTCCTCTCCAGTTCCAGTAGGATTGGGTGGTGGTGTTCAGCTATGGTAAACCTGGTTTTCTTGGTCTGATTTTGCTGTTTCTGCCATTTTGGAATAACAGCAACTGGTTTGAATATGCAGCATGTTAAAATGTGGATTTAGGGGGGGAATAATTTTACTGTATAGAATGTAAACTAGCCTTTTTAAAGTACTGCAAGGAGAAAATTCAAAGCATGTTCAGGACAGCACATGATATTCAGCCTGAGTTTTGTTTTGTCATTGTACTGTTCTACTCTGTTACATTTTGACCAATATCTTTCTGCTTCAACATTGAGTTTGGTGTCAACACAATAGTTGCAACAGTTTTAACATTTTAACAATTTTAACAAGAATGCAGCAAGGAGTGCAAGAGAAAGGCATTTAAGTTTTTATTTTAACAAAATGTACAGATTGCTTAATCTAAAAAAATTATTGAATGGTTTACAAAACGACATCCCATGATTGTTCTGAAGGCATGACTGTGAACGTAACTTACCTACAGAGCTGCTGCTGAATTTCTCTCTCTTTCTCTCCATATCCAGCCTTTACCTTGGCACTGTAGAACAGCTTGTAATAAGTGTTTGAGATTTCAAAAACCAAACTTCCAGCCTACCTGGGTTAAAGTTTGGGAACTGAGTAAACCATTTATAATTTTGCATAGTGCCTCTTCTCTTGCAAAATCTGTATAATCTCCCTTGCTGAAGGACTGTCAAGGAAAGTATAAATTTTGTGAGCCTCCATTTTGCCTGGGAAAGAAACTCAAATTAATTTTAAATATTGTTGAGTGACAGATTTGCTGAGTAGTTACATGCCTGCCAGCAACATCCATAATTTATTTAAATCAGCAAATTCACTGGATCTGCTAATCTGTTAAGACAGTTGAAAGGTTGGTGATGGACAAAGACACCACTTTCCCCCTGTCCACCTCTATTTAGAGGGGGAAATTTTGGTCAGTATTTAGTGCAGTTTGACTTTTTATAGCAATAAAAGTGCCTAACTTGCTAACTTCTCGTTCATGGCAAATTGCATTTTCAGACTGCTTGTGCCAATCTTCTTCTGATATGTAGCTTGATTTTCCAGGAATATTACTCTTTATGCTGCTTCCTTTTTGGTACACCATGGAACTCTGGCACAGTTATGTGAATTTCAGATATGAAATGAATTCCTTCCTGACAAACGCTTAAATCACTGTAGTTTCAGTGAGACAAAACATCTAAAGTGAAACAGCTTTGTGTTCAAGTGTTCAGAGTGTGTAAGTTCTGCCCTAACGTCTGGATAGACAAAGTGTAGCTCCCATTTTGCAATTCTTTAGCAAAGACAGTGTCAGGCTTCTTCATGGATAACTTCCCAGAAGCTATAAAAGACTAACTTGGGTTTGTTAAATCTAGCCTTAAAATGGGTTGCAAGTAAACATGGTAAATATGCAATAATTTTCACTTTTACAAGGTACCATGTTTCATAAAGTTGTGTTCCTTAATTTTATTATCATGTATTAAGAGTGTCTGAAAATAACTGTTTTATGGATTCCTGGGTGTCCTGCACTGTGAACATTTCAGGTTGTTTACTTTTCATTTTTTGTATGGTAAGAGTTTTTTTGTTTTGCTTGGAAAGTGTTTAAATGAATCTTTTTATACGTGTGTATTCCAAAGTCCAGGCATATGGTTTACATAGATTTCTGTAAAACAATGAAGAAAAGGCGATTTGGGAATTGTGAATTTTTGTTTCTCTGTGGGCATTTTAAAAGATGGGGGAATAAATGGATATGTGAATTGATTTGAGATAATCTTTACAGAAAGATCAAACTGCTTGAATGTTGACTGCTGGTCTGATGTGCTTGAGGAGATGCAACAAACTCCTCTCTGTGCTGCACCTAATTGCATTACTCGTCTGATCCTTTTGAGGTCAAATTATTTCTGCTACAAAAGCAAAGGATGCTCAGCAGACAAAAGACTTTAAACAGGATCCTTGGGACTGCATACTGAGCTTTTGGGAAATGGTTTTGAATAAATGTATGTGTGTCTGTGAGTTGCTTAGTGAAGCTTTGATTTATAGCTACTCTGTTTTGTTTTTGGTGGCTCATGAAGTCTGTGGTTTCTGCTAGACTTGTGTGCTATTGAAAGCTTTGTATTCAGTATCTGAGCTTGAGAAAGCAGAATTGAGGAGAAAGGAGCAGTTTTCACATTTAGCTGCACTTCACTTTTCCAAGGGTTAAGGTAGCCTTTAAGCTCAAATATTTGTGTGCTAAGGTTAGCAGTTTGCTTTGCAGAATTGTAGTACTAAATACTGGTATACAGCTGTGGCAAAAATCCCTCTTGATTTTAGTTGAATTTTGGGGCTGTTTTGCATGGTTGGTTGCAGGAAAAGCACAGCAGAATTTTGCAGTGGCCCATACTAGTGCTGGAGATTTATGCAAGGGTCCTTAGAGCAGCTTCTGACATGAAGCTTGGTATTTGAAAGCTGGTGCCTCTCCTGTTCCTTCCATTTCTGTCCCATCTGAAACGGAACTGCGAGTTGCAAATGTTCTGAGTCTGGCAGCTTGTGAGTTTTTCTTAGCCGGTCATACAGAGGTTATGCATGTTCCTTTGCAGCCCAAGAAGTCTGAGCATAGCTGTTATGGTAGTTCCTAATTGTGAAACGCGCAATTCAGATGTTCTTGCTCACAGTTGTTCCTTACACTAGAGTGCTTACATGTGACAATAATTTACTGTGCACTGTGAAGGCATCCTTACAGGAAAGTTAGCTATTACTGAAATCTTGGTATACTCTTTAAACATATGTAGCTATATCTTTTTCACAAAGGGAAAGATAAATAGGCTTATACCTTACTTTTTGCAGTAAGCACTGACTGATGCAATATGGCTTGTATGCATATATATTCAGCATGCATTTATGGTTGCTTTTATTTTTGATAAGAGCAATGGAAAAAATAAACTCTTTAATTTGTTATTGTCAGGATCACGAAAATCCTAATGTCCTGCCTGGTTTTGAACTCTTCAACCAGTTTTTAAAATATTTAATCTTTTTTGACAATGATCCAAGGAGCCACATGGCCCATTCTGTGCATTTGTGTATTTTAGTAGGCTTGAAACTGATTTCTCCCCGTCCACTCCCCTTTTTTTTCGTTTAAGCAGTAGCATTTTATGGTATGTAACAAATAACTGCTTTTAAAATGGGAGAAGTGAAAAACAATCTTGTTGCGCTCTACAAAAGCAGCTTTTTAGATTCTTGCTGCTGTGGTTTAAATAACATAATGAAACCTGTAACTGTGGTATAAACTATTAGAACTGTGCTTGGAAATGATGTACGGGTTGCTGTTTGAAATGAGTTGATTGAATGGACCAATGTTATTAAAAAAGTGACATTTAATTTGTGTCATTAATGAAGCATAGATCACATCAAGAAAGGAATGTACATTTTACAATATATTTCTACAACTACAAATATTTTATATAAAGGATCAATGATTCTACCTTTCATAACGGCTGTAGCCACTGTATTCAACCACAGGCTTGTTCTTGCCCAAAATTGGTTTATTCTTTCAAGCTGAACAATTTTAATGAAACTAAACATTCTCTGAAATAAATTTTACTTTAACAGATTGAAAATGTGTGTTTAAACAGTAGGATTGTTCACTGCTATGTTTTGTGAAAAATGGCATTGCTACAGAAGGGTGTGCTTTTGATAGGAGGAGGTGTGCATTTGGCAATCACCTAATCTGACAAGTTGTGTTATTTCAAAATACTTTAATGTACAGTGATTTGCAGCCTAGCTTTAAAGAAGAGATAGTAACAAGTCGTTCTTCATAACTTGTGAGAGGCGGAGAGCAGTGGGATAGGTATGTATTGCTTTATTTGTTATAGGCTAGGTAAAATAGGTTACTTTTCACTAAGTTAACATGGTTTGAGATTGCTCTATTAAAAAAAGTACACTGTTAGGTGCTAAGTAAGTTAATGTGTTTATTTTTATGTTCATTGAGCAATTTGATTTTACTTATTACTGCTTTTATATTATAAAAATGCTTACTAGTAAGTTTTGGATTTCTGGATAACTTGTAAACTTGAAATGTGATTGTTCTGAACTGCAAAATACAGCTGGGTCATGTCTACAATACTGATGTATAAAACATTGCCCCTGGTGTTGTTGCCCCAGGTATCAGTGTGTGAATTGTCAAGAGAAAGCATTTTTCTGAAAATTTGTGGAATTGCACTTGGAGCCCACAAAACATGAAAACAGAGCATAAAAGAATTGTCATGTGAGTTGTGTACATTCATCCATTTGCCATTAAAAGTTAGTTTTCATATAAACAAATGGAAAGCTGTTTATTGTGCAAGCAGTGAGAAGGGTTCACACAATGATTAAAATAAGAACCAGGAAAGCATTTTCCTGTCAAGAAGCAGTGACTCTATAACCTTTGATAAAAAAGAGAAAAGGCCATGGCAGAAGGCGTAATGATATTTGCATTAGAAATTTATTCAGAATATAAGAACATTTGTAAAAGTATTATAAATGCCTCTGTATAAATAAATGCAGTTTGTACAAGTCTATATCAAATAAAACAAAGTAGCTATTTTACAGCAGCTAAAGAACTAAAACTGTTGGGAAATCAATTAAAATTGTAGTTTTCCATGAAAAATGCAAATATAAACAGCAAAGCAATACTGACATTTAATGCAAAATTATATGTTCTTTGTAAATAACTAACGGTACATTCAAGCTGGTGTAAAAAGTTTTTTTATACCTTAACCGGAAAATAACAGGTTTAGAACATGTTCCATGCAACATATGACAAACTCATCGACTTCTAGAAACCTGTTCTAATAATACAACTCAACATGTCACATTTAGACGAAAAGGACTGAATAATTGACTAGATTTGTCATTAAAACAAATCACTTCCATGTAACAATGGAATGGATAGTTCTGGAAGTTTTGTTTAGCATGACAATACACAGCACCCACACACGTCAGGTCTGCCTGAGGTCTTGGGCACAGAGATGGTTTTTAAAACAGTTGCATAACTGAATTTTTGGTATTTCGTTTTGAGTGGCAGTAACAGATTTTTGCTTTCAACCTAAACAGCTTGAACTGTATATTGGCAGTAGCCCGTGTCTGCTTTTTTTATCCTTCTAGCTGCTGCTGATGTTCCCTGTGATGAAGTGACTGCTTGTTGAAGGAAGCATCTGATAGGTGGAAGGTTCATAACATACTCACAAAAATGTTGTTTGAGAACTCATAAATTGATGTTCCACACAAGTGCTTTAAAGTAACATTATTGCAATGTTGTACTAAAAAATAATGGATCTGTGTTTTCCTGCCAATAACCTCTAACTTAAGTGTTTTGGTGGTGGGTGGGGCGGTTTCCCACCACTTTGCCCCAACCAAGTACAGTTGTAGCTTGGTTTTCAAACAGAATCCGTTTCGGAAGTTTGTTGAGCTTCCCGCACTCAATCGGAAGCTGCATCAGATGTTCGGCTTCCAAAAAACATTCACAAACCAGAACACTCACTTCCGGGTTTGTGGCGTTCGAGAACCAAGGTATGACTGTAATGAATTTTGATAACGCAGACAGTTCTGGTTATTGAAACACAGCTACACTCCCTTCCTGGAAGTGAAATTGGTGAGTACAGCACATGCATGAATGCAGTCAATCCTGCAGGAAGGATAGATACAGGTATTAGTTAGTTAGATGAGAAGGTTATTAGCTGCCCATTTGCACCAGAAATCAAGAATTAAAACTTTTAAGGTAGTGGGCAGGTACCTTACCTAATAACCGTGGCTCAAGCTCTGGGCATTTAACGTATAAAACCAGAGTTGGGGCAGCAGTCTTGGTCCAATAAACAATTGGTGCATAGCACATTGGGGACAGATGTTTTACTTTAAAGCTGGAACTTGTAAAATAGGAAAGTAGTCTTATGAAAACCTAGAACATGCCCCAATGAATTGGACAAAGCTAAGAAAATCTTAAAGGATGGGACAGAAGGGAGTCTCGGTGCTCCTTTATATGTGCTCAAAGTCCTTGAAAAATCCATCAGGATTGATAGCAAAGCAGTGCCTCTAATATAATATAATATAAAACAAACATCATTCAGGACCGCAGAGGAATGTATACATTCTATAAATACCTGGTAAAGGTGCAGGTGGGAAGCACTACATGTATCTTCCAGGAGGCATTCAGGTCAGCTGAGCTGACCCCCTCCCCCCCCATGAACCGCATAGCTTCTTTAATCAGAAAGGCTGGTTCTGTAAGCTGCTTGAGCACTGAACATAACAAAACTGGTTAGTGGGAGAGTTTAAAAAAGGTGCCCCATACTGTGTAGATGGTGGACAGAAAAAGTTTTGGGCTTCTTTGCAGATGATCTAAAGAAATACTTATTTCTTGGTAGTCTGAAGACCTGAACTAAAAATCCACCAAGATTCTATTGCTCCTGCACCATCAACTCATTTAACTGAGCTTATTCACAGAAGCTGTGGCCTGCATCTTCTTCAAGACAATACAGGTCACAGCTACCAACTAGCCTTGAAGATGTCACTGCTTATCTTTTAAACATGCTAAGGTGAAGGAGTTGCTCCTGGGCCAGAAGGTCCAGTTTGGGTAGCAGTGGCCATAGCTGGAAGGTCTTTCCCCTGGAGTTGGACAACCAAGGCCTCCTTGGACTGGAATTAAGTGTTATACCTTGTCCTCTCCAAATCTTAATTTAGGATGGCATTAATTCATTTGGAGAAACATTAACACAGTCTGCTTGTAAACTGTTTTTTTCTTAAGAAAGCCAATTAGGATGAAGGGCAAAAGATGACCAAAATTGTCCGCCTGCTATACAGCTTGCCAAATGGATAGATGTGCTATATCGGAAAACAACAATGCAGCAGAAAGACAGAGAACAAATCAGGTATAAATGAGAGTTAAACATGCATTACTTAACATTAATTTTCACATATTTGCCCTCTTCCTGAATGCTAAACCTTAAAAATACGGACAGACAAAACACCCCGTAGAGCAGAAGTGTCCAAAATTCACCCTCCAGCTGTTTTGGGACTACAATTCTCATCATCCCTGGCCACTGGTCCTGTTAGCTAGGGATGATGGGAGCTGTAGTCCAAAAACAGCTGGAGAGCCAGGTTTGGCCACCACTGCTGTAGAGGCACCTGGACATTTCACCTCCTTAGTTTGAACAGGTAAAATACCACAACACAGAAGAGAGACTGCAGCAGAAATCCCAAAACCCGTCCAGAAAAGCACATACAATCAGCTACAGTGAAATTATGTGGAAGAACTTGGGACCGTTGGCTGCTTAGAGAATCAGTTCGGGGGGGGGGGGTATAAAAGAGCAAGGCACCCGACTGAGACACTCATCATTCCCAGAATGTTTGCCTAGACTCCCTCTTCCTGCCACCAATTAGTTATTGCTGCGTTTATGTCTAGAGCAGTGTTTCCCAACCTTGTGCCTCCAGCTGTTTTTGAACTACAACTCCCATCATCCCTGACTAGCAAGACCAGTGACAAGGGATGATGGGAATTGTAGTCCAAAAACAGCTGGAGGCACAAGGTTGGGAAACACTGGTCTAGAGAAGAACAGAGGCTAGAATATTAAAGATAGCTTTAAAAGTTATACAAAGAACTGACAAAGGCAACCTGCTGCACTCCCACTGATAACAATAGGTTTTACAGGGCCAAACTAGCATCATCATAACACGTTTGCAAGTGACTTCATCCAGCTTTTCAGGGAGCACCACCCTACATTCATTTGATTAGGCACATTCCTTACAACCTAAACCACGTTCAGCCTCGGAACTTGATGATTTGATTATTCTGACACTGTACAGCAACTGCATCTACTCCCATTTTTTGGGGGGGGATGTACAATTTTGTACCACCTCTACCTGGATTGGAAAAACTGTTGGATTGCCTGCTTTGATTCTGCTGGTATGTCTAGAAGAGAGGTTGAAACGGCATAGCACCCTCCTGATAGATGGAGGGTGTCAGGCACTGGGTCAGCATATTCAAAGCTCCTTTGAATTGCCTCTTCCTTTTGAAATACTACTCCCCTTTTAAAATCTCACTTGGCAGCACTAGCTGCAACGCATGCAGAGCTGGTTGGCTCCAGTCTCCTGGAGAGGAATGAGTCACAATGCTGCTTCCTTAGATGTGTCTTGCAGGGCTATGGTAATGTTTGCTTGGGCTTAATCTGTGGCCAGAGGCCAGCTACAAATAAATGCCTGGCTCTCCCCTTAGTTAAGTGTCTGAGCATTTTTCTGGAGAGAAGGAGCTAGAGGGGATGGGATAGAGAATTGCTACCCATTCAAATGAAAGCTGCCTGTCCCATGGCCTTTAAACACTCCCTCAAAAAATGCAGGGGACTCAAACGAATGTTCTTGATGCATAAGAACAGTGTTCGTGGCCATAATAATTTGGAGGAAGAAAAAAGGAAATTATGTGAATAAAAAAATTACACAGAACCTTGATAAACAGATACATTAACCATCAGGCACTGTCTGATATGCAGAGCCATCCAAAGCCTCACTTACATTTTTGGCTCCTCCAGATGGCTATATATTGCCAAAGTCATAACTCCTCTTTTTGAGGCACTGACCACCACCTTTCCCAGATCTGCCTGTGTGTTCACCACCTATATGAGTCTTTCCAGGAGACAAATATGCAACGCACATGGATTCTTTTCAAAATTAAAAATAAAATAAAAATCTTCCCCTCTACTTAAAGTGACGTTTCATTGGTATGGGGCCTCGAGTTCTCCTCTTCTAGCAAGGCAATTCTTTGTTTGAGCATTCTCACTTGGGTCTCGTGCCTTTCAACCATCGCCATCATTTGGGATTCCAGTTTCTTCAGCTTGTTTTGATGCTTCTTCTTTGCTTTCTCATAGGCAGCCACAAGGTTACTGTTTTAAAACAAGCATCAACAGGTCATTCTGGGGTATTTCATGTGAGAATCTCATTTTCTGGATAGCATCTTCCCCATTTCCAACCCCAGTTGCCCATGCAACTTTTATTAAGTGGGCAGACGATTTTACAGTTTTCATTGCTTCTGGGGGCATAGATGCAAAGCTGTAGTCTGCTTAAAAGTACAGTTATTTGCTTTATTTGCATACTGCTTTTCTGTTAACTTTCACTCAAGGTGGTTCACAATAAACACAAGTTTCAAACATAAATAATAATAATATAACAATAATAATTTATTATTTATACCCCACCCGTCTGGCTGGGTTTCCCCAGCCACTCTGGGCGGCTTCCAACTGAATATTAAAAACAATGCAGTGTCCGACATTAAAAACTTCCCTAACAGGGCCGCCTTCAGCTGTCTTTTAAAAGTAAAATAGTTGTTTATTGCCTTGACATTGCTGGGAGGGCGTTCCACAGGGCAGGCGCCACTACTGAGAAAGCTCTCTGCCTGGTTCCCTGTAACCTCACTTCTCACAGCGAGGGAACTGCCAGAAGGCCCTTGGCGCTGGATCTCAGTGTTCAGGCTGGATGATGGGGGTGGAGACGCTCCTTCAGATATACTGGACCGAGGCCGTTTAGGGTTTTAAAGGTCAGCACGAACACTTTGAATTGTGCTGGGAAACGTACTGGG